ACAGCGAGAACAACAGGTAACCAGTTTGGCAGGTACGTTTACACGGGCCCCAGAGGAGGTCTTCGTTGGCCACCGCTCCTCTGGGGCCCCGGTGGCCCCCTGCTGCGCAAGGAAAACAACTGTGAAGCTAAAACAATCCGAAAGGATCCCTATGATTCCAAGGGTTACACACACACACCACGCCGATATCGGCGCTCAAACGAATTACTAGCCACCTAACAAGCCTTAAAAAGACAGAAAAAGAAAAACAAAAAGAGCAAACGAAGAGGGGAAGAGAGAAAGGTAGGGGTAGTGACGAGGCCCCCTAGTTACTGAACCTCTAGTTACCGTCTCTATGGTTAAAATTGGTGGAAAACTTGAGAATGTGTGCAGCCTTAAAAATGGGCTGTGACACACACTTATGGATATGCGTACTGGTGTGATAGCGGTGCCACTCGCCAGCCTAAGAAACCCAAATCCTGAAAAACCAGGTGAGGAAACTTAGAAAGGAAAAAGAGGACCTAGAAAGGAAGGAAGTAGAGTTCCATCAGCTCCAAAAGAAAAACGCCGAGCGAACGACCGACAAGGTGACGACGTGCGTGCAAAAGGCCAAAATCATCGCCGCTGAAGGAAACAACGAAGTAGACAGCTTGTGCTCTACGTAGGTTTCTCTTCAAGCAGGTACGTCAATCCGGCGTCCCGGATTGATTTCACCAGCACACATCCAGTGTCTTCGTTGGTGCAAGACTGGATGGGCTGCTTGCGCCCCCTGCTGTAAAACAAAAGCAAACGCAAAAGCATCCCTATGACTCCAAGGGTGACACACACGCACACGCCTCCCCGAAGGGAGGCAAGAACCTCTGCGCCTAGTAGTAAGGCCAGGAACCCCTAGAAGCACCAAAGTAGCGTCCTAGTAAGAAGGCCAGGAGCCCCTAGTAGCAACCCACACTAAGGTCCTGACAGGAGGGAGGGGAGGGAAGAGAAAAAGAAAGAGAAGAAAGGAAAGGGGAGGAAGGTGTTCCCAGCTATGACACAAGCGTCCAGGGACACACCAAAGGAGGAGAGGAAAAGGTTCCCAGCTATGACGAAAGCATCCAGGGACACCCAAGGAAGAGGGAAAAGAGAGGGAAGAGAGAAGGAAAGAAAGAGAGAGCCACGTACGGCTTGCCCGAAGGCTGCCAGCTCTGACCGCTGCGGTCACGTAAAGGCATGAGCCAACTTGGAATTCCAAAGATGGGACAAAATCATCGGACGTACGGCCTAGGCCACCTTCGCCCGCTGTGGGCACGTACGTTTCCCGAGCAAGGGAAACAGCGACGTACACCCGTTCGACGGGTCCACGGGAGGCACTCTGCGGGCTCATCCTGGGTTGGCGCGTAGCCAAACACACTTATGGATATGCGTACTGATGTGATAGCGGTGCCACTCGCCAGCCTAAGAAACCCAAATCCTGAAAAACCAGGTGAGGAAACTTAGAAAGGAAAAAGAGGACCTAGAAAGGAAGGAAGTAGAGTTCCATCAGCTCCAAAAGAAAAACGCCGAGCGAACGACCGACAAGGTGACGACGTGCGTGCAAAAGGCCAAAATCATCGCCGCTGAAGGAAACAACGAAGTAGACAGCTTGTGCTCTACGTAGGTTTCTCTTCAAGCAGGTACGTCAATCCGGCGTCCCGGATTGATTTCACCAGCACACATCCAGTGTCTTCGTTGGTGCAAGACTGGATGGGCTGCTTGCACCCCCTGCTGTAAAACAAAAGCAAATGCAAAAGCATCCCTATGACTCCAAGGGTGACACACACACATCACGCCGATAGCGGCGCGAAAGTACTAGCCACCTAACAAGCCTTAGAAAGACAGAGAAAGAAAAGAGAGAAAGAGCAAGCGAAGAGGGCAAGGGAGAAAGATAGGAGTAGTTACGAGGCCCACTACTTACGAAGCCTTCTAGTTACATGAATTAAATGCAATAGTTAGCGAGCGGGACTTTAGTCTTAGACGCCAAACACACTTAGGATAGGGTGTACTGAACTGAAAGCGGTGCCACAGGCCGGCCTAGGGTACCATTTCCTAAGAATGCCAGTAAGAGACCCGCGGATCCTGGGGGGTCTGCAAGAGGAAGTGAGGCCAAAAAGCGCAAGATCGAGGACGGAGCGACGGGATGACGGCGGGTCGTGCGTGAGCCATGTCTCTGAGGTTCTGGGCTTAGCCTCATGCCATTCAGAAGAATCGGAAAATCGCAGGTACGTTCGGATGATCAGTCCGAATATCCCACTCTGTGACCTAGCTTCGTTGAACTGGGTCAGTCACAGAGTGCCCAGTTCATTCCAAGAACACAACTTCACTGCCGTAGGCCGTAAGGTCTATCAAATTCACGAGAGTATATCATCATCGGTTCTCTCTCTCTCTCTCTCTCTCTCTGTCTTTGGGTCATTACTTGCAGTCGCTGCTCCAACTCGGCCATTCCTACAATCTTTAAACCTCACTACATCTGATCATTTCACTTTGCAGAACCACCTATGCACAATCTACAGGCACTTCTGCCTAGCCTTTTCCTGGTGTTTACTTCCCCTGCTGAAAGGAAAAAACTACAATCCAACGGGATCCCTGTGATTACAAGGGGCACACACACATAGAGATAGAGAGAGAGAGAGAGCTAAGAACACATATTCAGAAAGTGGCTCAACGGTGTTTACTGCAATTAGATCTTGGCTGAATGAATGGTATGGCGATGGGTCGGAGGAACAGAATGTTTCAACAAAGCGCATGGTCGGCCCTTTATGGAAGAGTGGAGTAAAAGCTTGGACAGTTCAAAAAGCAGGTACGTAACTCCGGCGTCCCAGAGTTATATCACAGTGCAACAGATGCGTCTTCGTTGGCTGGAGACATCTGAAGCTTGAATTACATGCAAGTGGGTTGCAAAGTGGAAGGAAACTGTTGGTAACCCTTAGAGACAGGGTGTGACACACACACACACACACCCGCACACACGCCTGCGTTGCTGCTGGATGCGGGGCCGCGCTGTGCAGCTACCGAGGTTGGTGCTTCTCTTTGTGTTTGGGGTGGTCTTCAAGACACAAGCGAAAGAGGTGCGGTTCTCGTCGGATTGGTCAACAGTGGCGGTCAGGGCTACTATGTATTGCTGCTAAAAGATGCGAAAAGAACATGGATTGAGCACAGCAGTTCATGAGCAGTTCACTCATGAAACGATGTAATGTAGCTTTGGTTTTGTTGTCCTGAGCATGTGTCCCTCTTTGATTAAACCCAAGCAAGGATCATCTCAATGTTTTTGCTGACTATCCCTGCAAATACTGTAGTCTACTAAGGTTGAATCAAATGTTTTCTGTGAAATTTTCGTTTGCACTGTCCTCAAGCTCTGATGACGGGGGGCATACGTTGAGGGCAGACGTCGGAGGTCTTGCTCCGTTGCTCCTCAGTTTCTTTTTGGGGAATATCAGTTGCACTTATGCAAGGCACGGGAAACGAGATGCCAACCCATTCCTTCCGAAGCTGGAGGATTTTCCGCAGCTTGAGGAGCTGTTCCCGAGCGTGCCGGTGGCCCATTGGCCGAATTGGCCACCGACTGACCACGGACGTATCAGAAATCTTGTCGGGCAATGGACAATATTCTATATTCCGGGACCACATGGGAGCACCGCTCCACAACAGATCCTCCTTGTCCTATCCCTTGAGCCTATGCTTGAATTCTCCCAGCAGTTATGGATCGAACTTCAGACTCCATGGTTGACACCATCTATCATCTAGAGCCAACACTGAGGGCCACATTGTCCCTATCAGCATCGTAGCCCCAACAGGCGTTGACCATCCAAAGTAAGGCAACAATGCAAATCATAGTCATGCTTCAGCTGCAGAGTTCGGCAATAAAGAGCAGCTGGAGAGCCGGGAGAGGCCTCATGGGCTATTTTGAAGTATGCGAGCTCGGGAATCAAGGTATCCTAGTCAGTCGGCGCCATGCCTAGTCGGTTCTTGTCAGCAAGAGAAGACAGAGAAGCATTTGCCATGTCGAGCTGGTGAGCCAAAATGGCGGCAGTGTGGGAGGATTGGGCGACATGCCTACATGCGAGAGGATCAAACCCTTTCATTTCCACAAAGGTGGCAACCTTATGTGCCACCGTCAGCTAGAATATGTCCTAGCTACCACCTTCAACCAATTACCAAAAAATGCTGCCATCCAATTGACTGCCCAGTTTCCTGCTTGTGATAATCTGACCTAGCAATACAGGTATCTCACTTAAGGTACGATTGTTCTGTTTAAAGACTCGCAGACCAGACCAAATGCCCCTGGAGGCCGCGAAATGTGCAGCCGGCTCTCCCCTTTTGGTTTTTGGCAAGCTGGGAGTCCTGGAGAGCATCCAGGAGGAGATTGCTGAAGTTTGGGGCAGCATGCTCTCCATACAAGATCAATACAAGCATTTGTGAGAGTGCCTGAGGGGCATGCAATTGAACACAGCTCAAAGCAGATGACAATAGCCCAGCCTGGCTTCTTTTTTGTAAGAATCCACCGGAATGAAGGCTGTCCCGGCAGGAGCCAGGACTTTGGCGTAGCGCGGTGCGCGTGGGCCTTACCCACACCGAAGGCAGGCGAGTTCACTTCAGACGAAGCAACAAAACAAGAAACCCTGGAATTTAATTAGAATTGTAATTACTAGCTTTTTGTTACTACTAGTAAGGCACCTGTTACTACTAGCGTGGCACTTGTTCCTAGTAGCGAACATTGTTTCTAATAGCCGTTCCATTGCTTAGTTGGAGTCTTTGTATTCCAGTCGATCTTTTTCAGACATGGATGATAGGGGTGAGGAAGCCATTTGGTGGGTGGATAAATCTCCAATTTGAAAGCGCTCTTGATGCTTTCCGACAACTCTGGGTCTTTGGCTCGCACATGCTTTTAGGGCTCAAAGAAATAGCCCATTTGAGGCCATAACTGGCCCTAACATCTTTAGTTCTGTTCAAAAGGTAGGTCAGCATCCTCTTAGTCACGCGCTCTTCAACTCGAACTTCGGACATACCAAAGTCATAAAGGGAGACAGATAAACAGAATTGCTTCGAGTCTTTGGCAATGTCGCCGCAGACAGAGTGACCTGGGTCACTCTGACACTGGATGCACTCCTCATTATTATGGATGCTAAGTTGAGCTTTTTTCTCGGCTTCCTTTTGGGCACTACTGTGACCTTGACCATTGTCAAGAGTGGTGCCGTCATTTGGACCCTGGATGTATCTTACAGGATCGGAGAACAAGTGGATGTGCATGCAAAGCAGTCACCATCGCAAGAGTTGAGTTTTCGTTCGCAAGAACCATGCAAACAGAAGAACCCCGCTTGCCCAGACAACCTAGGGAGCATTACAAAAGCGATCAATAGTAGCGGATCTGACAAACTTTGGTTTCACCACTACGAACGATACTACGAAAGGTGGCTACAAGACTTCCGCTGCAAAAGAGGCCTGAAACTGGTGGAAATCGGTGCGCAGCATGGGCGTTCCTTAAAGGTTTGGAGCGACATCTTTGTGTCGCCCAAGACAATCCTGGGCGTGGCTTATGGTAAATCTGCCCAGGATGTGGAAAAGGCGCTTGGACCAAAGACATCTGTGATGTGGGGTGATCAGTCCAAAAATACAACAATGCAGGAACTCATAAAAAGAGGACCTTGGGATATCATCATCGATGACGGCTCGCATTATCCCCCTCATATGACTTTCAGCTTATTTTCTTTGTGGAGATCGGTAAATCCCGGGGGCTTGTACATCATCGAAGATTTGGAGACCAACTACTGGGAGCACGGTACCAAGCTGTATGGATATGTGATGCAACACACTGGCATCAATGCAACCGCCCAGTATTCGGTAGTGAGGAAAATCGAGCAGATCACGCAAGTCCTGATGCGCTATCATCTTGGTGCTGAAAATCTGAGTGTCATGCCAGGGGATGATAGACTTTGTTCTGTGGAGTGGGGAATGAATTTGGTGAAGCTACGCAAGTGCACTGAAGCAGAGTATGAGACGCACCCCAGATACAAGAGAAAAAAAGCATCCCTGAATGTGATCAACGAGTGGCTGATTAAGGCCAAATCCACCAATCCTTTTGTTGCAAAGTCCAGCAAGGGTGCCAGTTGAGTATTCATGGAGTGTATGACTGTACGAGCAGGTTTGAAATCGCCAGATACTTGAATACTGCCAAGCAAGCTTGGCAGGGAGGTTGTGTATCCCAAAGCTGGCAGTAACGTGGCAAAGCTTGAATTCTGAACTTAGCAGCCAAAAGTCGTGCGCCGATCCAATGGATGTTTACACGTTCCGGTGTGGCTTTGCATGTGGATTTTTTGGACCAGAGCGTGTGGTGTTTCGCTTGATTGTGTGAAACCCACCATTTCCAATGCCGACACCTGATGAGACCGAACAAACGCAATGAGTGACACAAGCATTCTGGAGGTGCTCATCCCGCACTGCTTCTTGCCAAGAACGAGACCTTAGCAGGCACAGAATGAAGGCTTCAAGAGCAGTCCTTGAAAAAGATAGGATCGGCTTCATAAGGATTTAGCATGATTGAGCATATAGATAGATAGATCCATCGATCAGATTTGCTTTTACAGTTGAACAACACTTTCTTCTGTTAGGCCATTGCTCTTGGTCCGTGGTTGAGATGTGCAGACGGAGTCATGCTGGCTTGCAGAACTAGATACTCAAGACAGCTCTAGCAGCAGCACTTATGTTTAGTGGGTGTTCGGGTGCTGGGCTGCTTAAGAAGAATGTCGTCAGAATACAAGCTCCAGCCCGCTCTAGTGACTAGCAGCATGCTGTTCAGCTGAGCCTTCACAGGTGGCCTCGGTCAACTTCAAGACCTCTTGAGAGAGATGGGTTGCACGGTGCAGATTGTGGAATCGTTGGAAGGAGAGACTTGAGAGGCGCTCTTGCTAAATTTATTATATAGATAATTACATTGTTGTATTCGCTTTTGTTCCACGTCTTGGTGAATCTTAGTTTACACATGTGCTGCTTACGTACTAGTGACTGGTTTGGGGAGAAGTTTGTCAAAGCGCAAGCCAGTTTAGGGGCTTGCACCCTTGCCCTTGTAGCTCTTCCGAACACCATGAAGAACTGAAACTGTTGGAAGTTTCAAAGTCTGAAAGAAAGCATATTCAAAACCTTTTGCTGAAGGCACTGCAATCACCAGAGCAGTAAAAAAACATACGTAAGACAGGAGGTGTTTGGGTGTGGAGAGTTCATGACCAGACCAGACTTGCGGGTTGCTGTAGTGTTTCAGAGCTACCGCAAGGAGCACCCCACGCCTCAATGCTGTTGGTAACGCCAAGCTTGGCAAGAGAGACCTTCCGCAGCTTGAGGGAGAAGCCACGTCCCGGTCATAGACTTAGCTTTTTCGGTCAAGCTTCTGACTTTGTCAAGACATCAGCTTGGAGCGCATGCATGGGGCATCGTGCGACCAAAGAGTAGCATCCAAATATGCCTTAGCTAACATAGGATGGGCCATGGTACAGCCGCTATGAGAAAAGCATACGGACAGTCTGGGTCGGTTGCAGCGGACGACTCCCAGGCTGCAAACAAAAAGATCCCGCTGCAACCACCCGATCATCACTGGCAATCGTCCAGTTGTGGAACATTGACAGATGCTAGCATTTGTTAGCATGCTAGTACTCGTTTGCTTAATCCTGCTTTGGTGGTTTTAAAGTGGTAATTACATTCCACATACTGTAAATGGTGAAGAGGTACATTGAGCAGGAGGTCCAAAGAGGCAAACGGTTAGCTTTGGTGGACGTCAGGTTGCATCGTGGTGCTGCTTGGCCTTCCTTCCGAAGGTTTGCTTCACATTCATGAGGAGGCATTCCGTGTTTCCCCTTTTCGCACGTGTGGCATGGGACACTTTGAGCTCGGCAATTTAGATCCATTCAGTTATCCTTGCCCAACAGAGAGGGTCTCAGCTTTTTGCATGTCTCGCCACGAAAGCTGTGTGCCAGAAAGAAAGCTTTGTTCAACTTCGATAGAAGACGGGACATAGTGCTTGGAGGAGCCGCCAACCATGATTTTTGGCCTCGGGCACGAGAACGGCAAAGAGATACTTGGCGTGTTGGCGTTGCGGCGTGGTTGTGCCGAAGTGATGTCGGCCTTCAGCTCCAGCACAAGAGGTTTGCGCGCTCGAATCTCAGTGGTGCTGCAAATCACCGAGTTCTTGATAGTTTGTTTGGTAGAAGCCAGGACATGTTGCCGTTTTTGCCTGCCAAAGCCATCCTTGTGACAAGTGCCAGTATACAGCAAGTTCATCATGAGCTTAGACCAGATGCGGTACGGGTTGTGTAGAATCTCGAAGTTCTGAAGTGATTTGTTCGAGAGATGCACAGAGCCGTTGGACGATGTCCCGACAGCGCCACTTTTCCAGCGATTAGGACTCATCGTTGTTCGCAGGGACCCATCTCACTGGGTCCCAGTGAGGACCTTGCAGGAGCGTCCTTGCTCCTAGTAGTACGGCCAGCCCCTAGTAGCTTCTTGTTCCTAGTAGCGATGCCAGGAGCCCCTAGTAGCTTCTTGTTACCACTAGTAAGGCACTTGTTACTAGAAGCGATGCACTTGTTCCTAGTAGCTTCTTGTTCCTACTCTGAAAGCTCAGGACCTTAAGCTTGAGTCAATGGGAAGAGCTTCGAGAATCCTCCGGACAGGCGCAGACGCCACGAGTGATCCGAAGCGTCCGAGACGGCAGGTGGAACGGATGTGAACGGTCGATCGTTCGGAGAGAAGATGCCATTGGTGGCACGGTTGGGCTGTTTGGGACACACCACTTTGGTGGCTTGCAGCGTTTCTGATTTTATTGGCATACCGTATATATAGTAACTGAAGAAGAAAAGCAAGGGCTCAAATTTGGGAGCCTGGTGTCGGAAGTGATCAACAGCACAGAAAACTACCAAATCGCCCTCGAACGAGACCTGTAAGCTGCCGCAGCGCCCGCCTAGCAGTCCGGAAGGTGGATGACCATGTCACCATTGCTCCTTATACACATCCAGTTATTTGTCAGGTCAGTGCTCACGAACAAGCCTGAGTCTGACTTGCTAAAGTGAATCTTTCAGGATCCAACCACAGGGGTGCAAGTGGCCAGTTGAATATCAAGCTAATTCAAGATATATATCTTGAATCGCAACGCAGCATCGACAGGGCTCCTCGCTTCACGGCCTGGCGCTCGGCCAACTGGGCGGATGCTGCTGCTACTTCGATGGCCGGATTGAAGCCCTGGCACGGACGCCCAAAGGGTTGGACCCTGTCGAGGGTTTGACAAGAGCGAATAAGCAGATGCCGCGAGCCGCTTGTTTGGGGTCGGGTTGTGGAACTTCTACGGTGGTCCGACGACTCCGCCCCAAGAAGAAGTGTCAATGACACTGCTTCGCGGAGAGACAAGAAGTGAGGTTCTCAGAGTTGAACTGCTGGAAACCCAACGGAATCAAGATGTTCATTGATGTCTGGGATTCTTCAGATTGCACATCTGACGCATCCATCACTTGGGCTCGCAGAAGGGCAGTGCCTGACTGGGTCCGGTGGGAGAGTTGCAGTTTCCATCAAAGATTGACCTCGCACACATAGGCAGCCGCAAATCGCTCAAAGTCGGTGTGGGTGTCATCGATTGATGCGTGTCGGCAAACCTTGCGAGGAAGTGGCAGCCATACGCTTGTGCCCTGAAGGCTCCAAACTACGGTGGGGAGTCTAAGCCGCAGTGTTCACCAACATATCCGCCTTGTCAGCGTTTATTAATGTTTATTCGAATTATTCAATATAATCTTAGAGGATTCCCCAGTGATGAGTGATGAAATACTTTGGATGTACTCAGGTCTGTAGCTGTACACAATCTGAGATGCACAAGAACCAGGTTCTCCAACATAGTAGTTTCTTCCAAAGCTCTCACCTCCCTTGCGTTCGTTCGCTCTCTCGCTCCGTTCTGTCTCTCACACTCTCTCTCTCTCTCTGTGTTGCCCTTTCTCTTTTCCTTTGCTTTTCTTCTTTTCTTGGATCTTCTCTTCTCGTCACATCTCTTCTCTGATTGCTTGTGATAAGCTTCATCACTTGAGCCAAGAAGCAGGTGGGAGTTATTCGAACCTGACGGCAACGCTGAGAAGCTGCCGAAGGGCCTGGCGCCCTTCTCTTCCCCCATGCACGCGGCGGTGCCCCGGCTGCAGCGTGGCTTTGCTGGTTGAGGTCACTTCAACTGGGGATCCAGGCCGCCACAACCAATTACATATATATATATGGTCTCCCGTCCCCGGGATTAAAGAATAACGCACCGATTCATTCTTATTCTGTAGTGTTTCGGCTTTAGATGACCTGCCGTGACTGCCATAGCCGCTTGGAGCTACCCATCGGTTCGTCTGGCTGCTGTGACCCGTGCTACCTGTCCAGCAAGGTCAAGAAAGTCGTGGCCACTAGGTATCCAGCTTCGAAAGGAAAAGAGTTGATATCCTATTTGGCCAAGGTCCTGACCACTCTCGAACGGGACTGCGAGGTTTTCGAATCGGATCGAACTGCTGGCACTGTCGATTCGAGAGGCTACCTCATCCAGGACAAGAAGAGTCCAAAGGCTACTGAGAAAAAGGAGGGTGACAAAACTCCTAAAGCGGCTGTGGCTGCGGGGGTTCACCCTGGCAAGGCGAGTCCTACAGCTGGCCCCTCCACGGCAGTTAAGGAGGAGATCAGTGATACAAGCAAGGGCAAGAAACCTACTCCGACACGTTCGACCTCAAGACATCGACGGAGGCGCCGCTCCCGTAGCCGGAGGCGAGAGAGGAAGCAATCTCGGGGAAGTCCAAGCCCTGTGGTTGTCGAGGAGCAGGCCGAAGCAGTGAGTATCGGGCCTGAAGTGGAAGAAGAAGTTGCAGAGGAAGGAGAAGAGGAAGAGGAACAGGTTGGCAGTCAGGACGACGAAGTCATCCGAAATCCACAGAAGTTCGAGCTGCGGCAGACAGCTAAGCCTTCAAGCAGGAAGCCATTGCCGAGGAGGCCACGGACACCATCCGTGGGTATCGTGCAAGAGACCCTGCCCCGCTCAAGCGGTGGAAAGGCTGGGCACACGTCTACCGAGGGCAAGAACGCCAGTCGAAGGGTAAAGCCTTGGTCACTCTAAAGGTAGGTCCTGTGCAGATGCCACGCCCTTTTGTGTGTCAAGCTGCGCAATGGTTCCCAAGAGTGTTTTCTTTTATTTCTAATTCAGCCAGGTGGTCTGCGGAGTCCTCGACTTTGTCCGAGCGTCTAGCTGGACCCAAAAAGACGATTTCATGCTTGCTGCCGGGATGCCGGTTCACCCACACACTTCCTTGACCACACCCATTGTGTGGCCTATGTGAATGCCTGTGCCCTACATCATTCCACTCTTTGATGTTGTTTGCAAAGGGTCGTGAAAGACATCCTGTAGTTTTTGTTGACTGGTGCAATGGTTCCAAGTCTTTTCAGCAAGATTGCGGCTCAATATCACAAGACCTTTCAGTGTTTCGGACAATCGCATATGGTTTCCAAAGCAATTTTGAAGCGCTTGCGGAGGGCGCCGCAAACATCGTGGCTGTCAAAACACCGCCGGTTCATCCAAACCCAAGGCAAAATGCGCTTGAGGAGGATGAACGCCCAAGACTTTGAAGGTACATTGAATGGCTCAATTTGGGCAAATGATTTGCCGCTAGATCGGTTACCCCCTTGGCCTTTGGTGAGCCGACCTGGCGATTTGGTGAACTACCAAGTCAGCCTTGCTTTGGAAGTTGGCCACCCGGTACTTGTGATAGATCATTTGGGCCCAGTCGATTTTAACCAATTGCCTGATAGCCTATTTGAATGTCAGTGTGGCCACTGCTCTTGATGCAATAAGACTTCAAGAGCTGGGCAGCGTGGACACGGGGACTCTGGTTCCAGGATTGCTTGGAATCCTTGGGGGAAAAGTTATTGAGTGTTCAGCGGAAGCGTCCAGAGATTCGTTTTAACTTTAAAACTTTAACCACTCATCAGAGTGCTTTGCTGACCCCATCGTCAATTGACAAAAAGAACAACCGCAACATGAACGACAACACAGCAGCAGCAACAAAAAACGACAACAACAACAACTACTACAACAGCAACAGCACTGCCGCGCGACCACAAAAAACAACGCGACAGCATGAGTGGTTCAGGCACTACAAATTGCTCAGCGTAGCCTGGCTAGTTTGCCCAGCTCACCATGGAATCAGTTTTGTGTGGCGCGTGGTAGCGGAGGAACATTAAACATCCTTGTGAAAAATCACATGAATATCATGACCTAGCTCAGTAAGACATGAACATTGGGATAACTTTGTAATTGCATCCTTGGCCCAGCCAAAGCTGGAACACCGATTCATTTTGGAACACCGATTAGCGAGAAAATTCTTTACAGTATGACACGTGGAAGGACGTCAAGTCGCCGTTTGAGGAGAACACTCTGCCGAGTAAATTCGCTCTTGCTAGCGCGCAATGTGGTGGGTCTTTGGGGATATGTGAGCACTGACCTCAACCCGGCGGATCGTCCGTCGAGGTGGGCGGTGCGAACAAAGTTCCGTCATGCCAAAGGTCGTCTGTGAAGGATCCACGCAAGCTAGAAGAGCAATTGATCGGCAGAAACTAGGCAGCTTGAAACAGCTAACAGTGCAACCTTCCACCCGTGCACGCTATGAAAAGGCCTTAAGCAAATTCCTCTCTCTCCTAAAGGCTGAAGGGCTGGAGTTACCACGTAAGCGTGAACTTTTAGACACGCTAGTCATGGAGTATGTGGAACATCTCTGGAATTCGGGGGAGGGGCGTGGACTGGCCGCCGACGCCCTGGCATCTTTGCAAGACCATGATGCAAAGTTGCGTGGACATCTTCCAGGTTCGTGGCGTTTGGTAAAAACGTGGGTAACCCATGAACTGCCGAACAGAGCACCGCCGGTTCCTGAACTGGTTTTGCACAGCATGGTAGGATGGGCACTTTACCACGGCCATTTCGCTTTTGCCACCAGTTTGCTCCTTTGCTTTTACGGAATTTTAAGAACTGGTGAACTTCTGGATGTCAACCGAAGCCGGATCGAAATCTCGGCAAAACTTCGGACAGCAGTCGTTTCCCTGAAACTAACAAAGGCCGGGAAGAGAGCAGGCAGTGGTCTCAGTTAGTGACAAGTCACCAAAAGCTATGTCCGTCGCCACCACGATGGCGCAAATTGTTTAAACAATGCGTGGAGAGCCTAAAGTTAGAGTCGTTGGAACTGCGCCCCTACTCGCTTCGGCGGGGAGGGGCAACGTGGTGGTTTTGCCAGCACGGGAACCTAGACCGGGTGATGGTTCTTGGACGCTGGCAAGCTCAAAAAACCGCCCGAATGTACCTTAATGAATCCAGAGCCATTTTGGCTGAGACGCACCTGGGACCCCTTGAGAAGACCATTGCACCCTACCGACAGTTTTTCTTGAACGCGACCCCTAGAGATTTTGAAACACTTGAGCCGTTGCAAAGCAACAGGCAGTCCTCGAAACGAGGCCTAGGGGGACGTGGAAGGAACGGAAAAATTTCCAAAAGACCAGCGAAAAGAGCATGAAAAAGAAACGCTGGTATCCCTTGGGGCCCAGTCAGGGTCAGGGGAGTGGCCCGCCTGACTGGGGGGGGATGATTGTCCGGATACGCCCCCTTCTGTTGTGGACCAAGAATGGGGGGGGGACAATCGTTCGTGATGGGAGTTTCTTTTTTGTTCCCAAGTTTTACTGTTTGTGACACTTTTGCTGCAGAGCGAATAAGAGAAAAGGTGCTGCTTATTCTTTATATATATAATCGTTGTTATATATGTATATGTATACAATCATGTATTGTTTGATCATGTGTATATATGTAGATGACTCTCACTCAACCAAAGAAACATAATCTATGTGTCTGACCCAGATGTATGTTTGGGAATGAGACAGCTTGAAACTTCAGCCCTTCCCCCAAATTTGCAGGCTGACTTCATCTCAGCAGGCTGCGCTTTAGCTTTTACAGGCGCTGGCATCTCCAAGGCGGGCTGCCAACCGCCAGCGTTAGGCTGGCTTTATGGTCACTCCCGACAGAGAATATCATGAGCCCTTCGCATATCCAAGAACTTGTAGTGTGTGGAAGGTAGGTCAACAGGAGTTTCAGGATTGACCTTGAAAGGTCTGGTCAATGCAAGTCACATCCCAAAGGATTTGATTGTAGTATATAGTTCAATGGTAGGATGATGCTGAAGAAGCAGACATGTTATAACTGGATAAAAGAGCAGCAAGGGATGAGACATAATTTTAGATGCACAATATGTTTCACATCAGTCCATCCCCCTTTGGGGTCCTGGCAGGTAGAATGTCTGACTTGTGGCGGTTAGGTTGACCAGACCCACTTGCCGACCTTGCGGAGAGACCTCAAACGAACCGGTGAGGAGAGTGGCGTGCCCACCTATCGAGATGGAGACGGCCTTTGGAAACGCTACGATGCCATGGAGGCCTCACAAATCTCCAGGACGGTCTGGAAACCCTTGGGAAACCCACCAAATGTCATGGAGTTTCCAGGTGAGAATGGTGAGTCTGAGTCAGTCCCAGGTTTGAGCACATTCGAGAGTCTTGAATCTCATGCATTTGGTTTCACCTTGGTATCACAATGGCATACAGGAATGATCCCTTAAAGACCAGGGGAATTGTCCTCCAAGAGCCAAAAGTTTGGGGCCTCAGCAGACTTGTATGCAACATTTGGCTCAAGGCCTCACAGGTGAAAAAGGCGTGATCTGTCTGCCGTTGGTGTGTTTCACTGTTTGGGTCGCTCGTTGAAACCACTTCTCGGTGGGTGTTTTGATTTGTGGAACCTTGTTAGGCATCGAGGCGGTGGGCGAGGAACAGCTCCGAAGATCGCGCGCGATCTTGAGGGAAGCGCTTTATTTGGCCTGGGGACAATAATCCGCCGCCGTTCATTGTTTATCAAGTGCACTTTTACAGGAGCGAAGGATAGGTCTTGATTGGGACTTGTTCTACGAGCTGGAAGGACTAGCCCACGTCTTGCTCCTTGAGCTCGAGAGAGAGAGAGGAGAGAGAGGAGAGATCTCCTGGGCGTTGGCAGACCATAAATGCCATAAACCTCAATTCGGATATTGCAGCTTGTGTGTATCACCACCGCAGAGCAAGGATCCTTCTTGAAGGAGCGGTATGTAAGGGCTTCACTCAGGGTCGGTCTTTGCTCATGTTTGTGGACTATCATCAAGTGCTTGACAGGGTGTGATTGATACAGTTCCAGAGGCAAACGTCAGGGCACATCAGTGCAGTTCATATCGAGGCAGGACTTGCAGCCAGGAGTATCTCACGCATCATGGGCTGTTGTTTTTACCAGACATACAACGAGAATCAACAAATATAACTTAGTCCCCTGTAACCTTGATATTGCATGACGCCAATTGGACCCAATCCCTTGAGGGTTTTAAAATGTTATAGCCAAGTCTTTTAGGGCCCGGGTCAGGTCCATGGCGCGCGCCAGGTGAAAATGTTGGACTGAATGTGCAGGAGCTATGCTCTGGGTGTTCCATGTCGAGCACAGGTTCTCATCACAAACGTCGTAACAGTACTTCGCTCTGCTGAACGATTGTTTGTCAGGCCCTTAGCAGACTAGCTAGCGAAGCCAGTTTCTACGTGCAACTTCGCTGGGAGGAACTCTACTCGCACTTGTTGCTACGCTCTTCATGCTTCTTGGTGGCTCTGTTCGTGGTGCATCAGCAGAAGAATTCTCTGAGCAGGTGAGCAGAAAAGCTGCGTGCGGAGTGGATATCCGTGACCGATATCACCACATATTTTCTGAGGCGGACACATTCCTTTGCTTCACGCATCGTTTTGAAACTTGACTGGCTCTGACCTGGCCTGCCCGCTGGGCAGCGTTTGGAATTTGATCCGGCCTATCTCTTTCTTGGGATTGGTTTGCTATTGGCTCTGCTGTTTTCTTTTGACAGCGGCATTTGTCTGGGGCTGTGAAGTAGTGGATGGAGCAATAGGTTTACTTTAAGAGACGTTTTCCTGCCTTCGTGTGGGCAAGACATCGTCTCATACAAGCTGCCTTGTGTCAAGACCCGACCTCCTATTGAGATCCTTGCTGCTATTGGTACCGGCGGCGCTGGCAGCAGGCGGGGCCGCAAAACATGGGAGCGCGCAATCAGCGGTGAGAGAGCCCAAGCAGGATGCTTGGTTTGAAGCCTCTCGCTTCACCGTTCTCGAATCCTTGCCTTCCTGCGGGAAGGCCTGCCTTTTCAACGCCAACCCGCGGCTGAGACGCAGCCCATCCTTTGCTGCCAGGTTTGTTTGTGGACATTGCCGGCGTTGCCCTCTTCATCCCACGGGCCCTGGTCCTGGTTGTAGCCTGCAGACGCGCTACGGCGGCTTGAGCGAAAGCCTCTTGGGACAGAGTCTGTGGCCAGGTGAGAATTCTGTGTTTCGCTTGAAGTCCGCCGTGTACGGTGTATCCCTACAAAGGTGCTTTAATCGTTTCGCCTGTGCGCGCAGATGAGAATGGGCGGACCGTTCGTTGAGAGGCTCACTAGCAGAGGGCGTTTCTCAGATCCTCATGCAAGTCCTGCGGGCGCAGGTTGCGAGCCATCTGGCCAGAGGATTGATCCAATGGAGCCGCCGACGACAAGCGACTGCGTCGACTTATGGACCACTTAATAAACCTTGCGCAAAGTTTTGATTTGTCTTAGAAGGATGTAGATAGAAAGGATCGAGCTGAATATTGCGCCTAACTAAGCCTGCAACATGATTCCGATGCAGACCATGCTATTGAGAACACAGGGAGCACGTCTAGAGGTGTGACTTTTCTTGCGATTGTGGAACCCAATTCGTTCTTCCCCATCAACTGACCTACTCCACGTCAGACCACCGCGAGCCGATCGACGACTGAGTCAAAATCTTCCCTCAAAAGCTTCCTGCTTAGAGCTTGATGGAAACTGTGCCAGGTAGACCGATGACCCTTTCCTGCCATCAAGATAACGCGGCGGTAATCCAGAAAGCTGAGGCAGGCCTGAATTGAGGCGTGTATCCAAAACATCTCAGTTCATTGTATGAGGTTTCGGAGTCTCCAGATGTGCGACCGGCTCACCAGGAACATGGAACCAGGCCGTTGGCCTCATGCTTTAAAGCTGCTTTGCCAGGTTTGAGCGCGTTCGAGAGTCGTGCGGTTTCCCAACGATTACAGAATGACCCCTTGAAGACCAGGGGGCTCGTCCACAAAGAGCCAAACGTTCGGGACCTCAGCAGACTTGTATGCAACATTGGGCTCAAGGCCACGCACGAAAAACGTGTGATTTGTGCAGCTGCCATTGGTGTGTTTTGACTCTCTGGGTCGCTGGTTGAAACCGCTTTTCAAGTATCATATATATATATATTATATACACATCCTTTTTCCCTATGATGGCCTGTCACTGGAGACATGGACAAACATCCTAGAACTGAGGCACTCTTTGGGGGATGGCTTTCATTGCTTTTGTGATCACTGCTTGGAGGGAGCACCATCTTGATTTAAATTTATCCGCTCTAGACTCTAAGGACTCACCGTTTTTCTTCTTCCGGTGAACAGACGATAGCCTTTTTGTGAAATTGTGTTTGTGGCTGTTTGCAGTACGTTGTGGGCATACTTGCATGCGAATTGTTTTCAAAAAGTAAAAACCAGTTGCCTGTGTTTGGGCTGCGTTACTTGAAGCCCGATATTTGTCACACACACGAAGATTATGACAATGCAGCGAGTCAAAACACCCATGCCGTAGATAGCCCACACGCGTGATCGCAATCGACGGCAAAATCTACAGCCTCGCTTCGGGTTGTGCTCGCAGACTTGACACAGCACATACATGCAGTGCACCCGAATGTACACTACACATATTATGTCACAACTTTTCAAACTCACTGTGCAACGAGTACAGTACAAGAGAAAGGTAAAGGTCAAGTGTGGAAGGGAATACAATCTTCGCCCTGAACATCCGAAGAATTGTCGGATTTCCAACAGGTGTCCAGCCTCGCCGGCCTCGCCGGAGAGCCTGCGAAGGCGAAAAACGACGTTCATCGGCCAGAGCACCGGGTGAGATCGTTGGCACATTTGTAGGTGATCTGCTGATCGTCTGAGGGTTTTAAGTACGAGGACTGGCAGATTGAGGCGGCCACCCAGAAACATGGCAAAGAAGGAATTGTAGGACAGATTCTTTGATTTGCAGGTGTGGGCCTTCGAGAAAGAGTTCAGCGAGATTCTTCGTGGCAAAGGCCGGTCTCTCAGAAAACAAAACATTTGAAGTAATTAATATATAAGTACTTATTGGACGCGCCCTCTTGGGGGGCGGAAGCAACGTAACTCAGCGGCTCCTCAAATCAATTTTCAGTGTTTGCAGCCATTCAGATCAACACAAGCAGATGACAAGCGACATCCGGCCTCATTTGCATGGAGACGTTTCAAGTTTATTCAGACATGGAACAAGACAAGCTTTCAGATTCACTTGTAAGAACTGTTTGTTCACCGAAAGAGCTTCAGAAAGACCTGTTGTTTTGACAGGCGAGACCATTCAATTCAGAATCGTTCAGAATCCATAGGTTTGATTGTGAATCGTGAAAGAAACATCCAAGACTTTATCCAACGCGTGCCTAACGTCTTGCGAGTTATACGCGCGTGAAACATTTATTTTTTCGATGGCTCTCCATTTGGACCTCTACTTAGCCAGCGGCCGAGCGGTGTCGATCACCGTGAGTCACGAGACGTCTCTGTGCGAGCTGAAGGAGATGGCACAACAACACTTTGGGATGGCCATACGGAATCTGGCAGCTTGACTGACGAGTTGAACACGGAAATGACTGCTGTGGGGGAACGGCAGATTTTCTTAACAGTAGGGTTCTCCCACCCAGGAAGCAACTTTTTGCCTCCTGTGAGGTGTGAGGGGTTGGAGCCATCATCTTGTGTTTGTCATCCCTTCATCGGCTGTCATGAGGGTCCTGTGGCAAGGCCAGGACTATTGATTGTGATTTGGGTCATTAAGGAAGCATGAGAGGCCAATGCCTTTGGAATCAACCTTAGAAATCAGTCATGTGCAGTCTAATTTTAAGCCCAGAATCCAAAGCACTGGCCTAGACAACAAACTTTCATTCTCTTCCAGATCACTGCTTTTCAGCTCTGTCAACCAAGACGAGGTCTCGTCAGACGGACGTTTGCTGGAAGGTGCTCACACACTAGGTGAGGTTGGCTTGGAGGATCGCGATGCAGTGACCGTCATTGCGCAAGCGGTGCCATGGCGAAAGAATCAAAGAGACGTCCTGTACATCCCTGCCTTCTCTGTTCCAACTTCCTGCTATCTCCAAGAGGGGATCAGGGTCAACGCTCCTGGCAGCAGTGAAACAAACAAAACAAACAGAGACTCTGAGGGATTCTCCAGGACTTATCATGACTTAACCACTTCAAGTGTTTAAGCTCCTCGTACCTTTGTGGTTGGAGACCACAGGAGACTTCACGAGACCGGAGACCTCCAAAACCGTCGCCGATGTTCGAGGCGCGCCTGGTGTCCAACCGCGGTTCCTCGGCCTTCGCGATGATCCGGGACGATGGCACGGTGATCACCTGGGGAGCGCCCAGTCGCGGAGGCGACAGCAGCAGCGTGGAGGAGCAGCTGGTGAAGGTGGGGGCCGGCCCGCACAGCGGCCTGGCCGGCGGTGCCGCCAAAAAGACACAAACAATCATCAAACATCAAAAAGGGTTCATGAACGAAAGTGGGATTGCTTTGGGATCCTGTACCAAGATGATGTGGTGGGTGACGAAATGTGTGGAGCGGCGTTGACAAATCAAGGAAGACCCTACTGAGGACTCTGTAGTGTGACAAGTGAAGGGGCGATGCTTCTTGCTTCGTCCCATGTAAATGTAGGACGGGACGTTTCAGCTGGCTTGGATGCTGCAAGCCTTTCTTACCCAATTGTTGGTACGGTTGTTTTTGACATAGTGCCGAAGTGGATTTAAGAAGTTGTAAGGACCAGCAGTTGCATGCACATCCCACTTTAGGAAGGGTGGGGACCCAGCATTTGAATGCACAGTCTTTCAAGATCTTTCAAGCAAGTACAGTGTCTACCATGTTTGAGACTTTAGGAATCTTTAAGATGAGTTATAAGTAGTTATACATTATCAGCAAATCTTATTAAATACGGCAAGTGTCAACCACCCCATGCCGTACCATGACCCGCTTTCTTCGGCAGCTGACCTGCATGTCGCAGCAGGTTCAGCAGGTCAGATCCTCCTGGTGTTCCTTCGCAGCCATCCGAACGGACGGTTCCGTCGTCACCTGGGGCGATCCGAAGTTCGGGGGTGACAGCAGCATGGTCCAAGCAAAGCTGGTCCGAGTGCAGCTGCTTGGCCAAATGTCCAAAGATGGATTTGCTTCACGTTGGTTCAACCTTTGCGCCCAGTCAAGAAAGATATGCACGGAAGTGGCTCGAGTAGTGAGTAGTGTTTCTGAGGCTTACTGGTCCGTCTTACTTGGATCGTAGTAGATAAGTTTCCCTAAACATCTAGTGTGCGAGCGCTTCTTCAATGAAGCTCCCCCGCCCTCAGGAAGGGTGAGCTTCCTTGAAGAAGCGTGAACTATCCTGCGTCCAGTAGCTAGGAGCGTACAAGTTTGCCCCTCACTTGATTAAGTAGTAGGGAGGCAGAGCGGGCCTTTAAAAGAACGATTCAACAACATGTGATCGTGGAACTTGCTAAACTTGACGGATGAGACGCTCTCGGTCGACAAGTGGAATGAGTCAAAGTTCACCAGAAGCACGCGCACACGCATACACACAAAAACATTAGGTTGTTTAGCTGAAGGTATCCCGATGTGATCGGTACAAACACCTAGCAGATTGGACCTTGAAACAACGAGCAAGGCAGATTGAAGCTTCGAGAAGAGCCTTTGCTGCGTTGCTTGCAGATGGATCAGTTGTAACGTGGGGAGATCCCGACACTGGCGGCGATAGTAGCGATGTTCAAGAACAGTTAAAGGACATGGGGCCGAGGGTCAGCGTTGCTACAAATCTGCATATGTGCATATGACTCACTCTTCCTAGTATTCCAATCTAGCTGGCTCCATTGAATGTCCCTGCAAGGATGTTCAACAAATCGAAGCCTCGTACGGTGCCTTTGCGGCCATACTTGCAGATGGTAGTGTGGTAACTTGGGGTGACATTGATACTGGAGGTGACTGCAGCAAAGTGAAGCCGAAATTGAAAGGCGTCCGTCAAATCCGAGCCTCTCATGGTTCCTTTGCAGCAATCTTGCCTGAGGGGCGAGTGCTGTGCTGGGGAAATCCGGATATTGATAGCGAAAGCTGCCAAGTGCCAGAAGGTTTGCGCGATGTTCAACAAATACAAGCTTCAGGACATGCATTTGCTGCCATTCTTGCCGATGGGAGTGTAACTACGTGGGGAGATCCTGATTTCGGCGGTGATAGCAGCATCGTGAAGGACCAGTTGAGCGATGTTCAGCAGATCATATCTTCCAGGAGGAGAAGGGCTTAAAACTTCAAACCTGCAAAGAAAGGGCATGACTTAAAACCCTGAAGGTGATCTAGAACTTCAATACCATAATACCTATGGGTTTTATCTTTCAGTATTTGGCCACGTGCTTCTTGCTTTGATTCTTGAAGGTTGGCATAGCAGACTGTGCATGCTCAGCTTTCTTACCGCCTTTTCCCTGGACAGAATGCAATACTTAAGTTAGTTAAGCTGCTTTTCATAGCATAGGCAGTCTACGAAAATCAATTGATATCAGAGATGCGATACTCTACCAGTTCCCAAGCATCACCACACCATCTACGCACGGTCGAATGGTTGAACAATCCAGCATCCACATCCCAGTATGGCCCAGCCATCCGCTGACCCTGCATTGAACTGCTATCCGCATTACAAGCGCAACATCGCACAAACCTTAGAACTATTTGGGTCACAAGTGGCCACAATAGCTGGAACGACTCCAAATTAGATCCCTACAGGAGAAGGACTCTTGTTTTGTGTGAATCGGAGGTGGGATCCCATTGGGATCCCAACATCTAGAATAGAATAGAATGTCTTTGGACTCTCCATCGCCTGAGGGCCTCCCCTCCCCTTGACCGACCTGAGGGCCTTTGCTGCTTTGCGGCGTGATGGAACTGTCGTTACGTGGGGGGATTTGCTGAATGTGATTCCAGAAAATCTCACCAGTCACTTGGTAAACGTCTTGGAGATTTCTGCGACGAGTGGAGCGTTTGCAGCCCGCTTAGCGGATGGAAGCGTGGTGACACTTGGACGAAGAGCAATGCATGGGAGTTTCAAGTAATTGTTTGGCCTATTTGTCGGGTTGTCTTCTGGGATCTTCAACTTCAGTTCACATCAAACCAGAGAGCTGCTTTTCTCGGGCATGGAAGCCCCACCTCTTGGCACCTATGGTAAACACCAGCCTTTAAGCTTGCTTGTTGCCACCGAACCAGCGAACGGCACGCCACGCCAATCTCAAGCAGTTTGCGCAGTAAAATGCCAATCTACACTTGGAAGACGCAATGTAAATCACTTTGCTGAGGACATGGGGACATAGCTACGTTGGTGGAGACAGTCAGGCTGGATCGTCCATCTCCTCGGTGCCATCCAAGTGAATGAGCCTCTAAGGGACTGTGTGATGTTTTGTCGGTCTGGGTGAGCCCAAATAGATCCAAATAGGCTGAGCAAAGTCATGTTCTGAATAGAAAGGAATTTCCCCAGTCTCTACGGCCACCAAGCGGCCGAAACCAACAGGAGGTGTCACATCAGCTTCGGAACGTGCAGCAGCTCAGTGCTTCCAATGGCGCTTTTGCAGCCTTGCTGGAAGATGGTCAAGTCATCACATGGGGCAGTCCCTACTCAGGCGGTGAATCGGCGGGTCTGCAAGAACGTCTTGGTGCTTGGGATGTGCAGACCGATGCCAGGAGGGGTGGGGAAGCGGAGCTCTGAGCTGGAGACCAGAAAAAGCAGGTGAGTGAAGGTGAGGAAAGTCCGGAAAAAACCATGAGACCGCACAGGCAATGATGGATATTAGGAACTCAGAATCGGAGATGTTTTCACGAAAGCTAGCGAAGCTAGCTGGAGTTACTCTTGCGATAGCAAGGTTTCTTTCGATCGGGTGCAAATCCTAACCCCTGATTTTTCAGGTCGAAGCCCCCCCCCCCGCCCCACCTCCCCTCTCCTCCTCCCACCTTCCTTCTTCCCACCTTCCCTCCCTCCTCCCTCTTCGCAAGTTCGACTCCGTCCTGTCGTCGCTCTTTGGCATGTGGTTAGCGTTGCGTATCTTGCGACCGCACTCGCTCACTCTCACTCTCACTCTCACTCTCACTGTCTCTCTCTCTCTCTCATCCTCACTGTCTCTCTCATCTCTCTCATCTCTCTCTCATCTCTCTCATCTCTCTCTCAACTCTCTCTCATCTCTCTCTCTCATCTCTCTCATATCTCTCTCATCTCTCCCTCATCTCTTTCTCATCTCTCTCATATCTCTCTCATCTCTCTCTCCTCTCTCTCTTTCCTCTCTCTCTCTCTCTCTCCTCTCTGTCTCTCGTCTTTCCGTCTCTCTTCTCTCTCTTCTCTCGCAGGAGGATCCGGGCAAAGAACCACATATAAAGGACTCTTCACCCCTGCCTCCAAAAAGAGCGCCGTGTTTTTTCCTACCTCGCTGGCCTCCACTTTCCCATTCTGGAGCGCTAGCTTTCGCCCCCCCCTTGGCCTCAAGTGATTTTAACCTCGTTTGAATCTCAAGAAATGGACTTACCTGACAATAGGAACTCCTTGTGGTCAAGCCCCTGCCAGGAAGCGAAGACGGACAAGACTAGATGGGAGCTGCTTAGCGCTGCTGGTGGAGCAATAGACTTTCCGCCCTTTGAATCGAAGCGCGCTATGCATTGTTGCTCGTCGCTGCATCGAAGAAAAAGGAGTGCACGGTTCGAGAGACGTTCAAATGGGAAAACAACTATTAGGAGGAGGAGCATTGCATCGGATGGCATAGGTATTGGACACCCCCTTTTCGTTCTCCATAAAGATTCTTCAGGATTGGACGCCTCTTTTGCTTGAACAGTCCATTGATCCGCATTGCTGTTGCATAGCCAACACTCGACTGGAATCTCGTATGTTGACTCATGACCTCTACCAAGGGCCAAATCCTGGGCACTTGGCTTTGGCGAAGTTGGAAGAAGAAGGTTGCATAGTGACCCGGCACGAGATGCACAAAGGCCTCCCTGTAAAAGTCCTGCACATCATATTTTGTAGGGCATGGTCACTAGATGTCACTAGTGAGCAGAATTTGCTTGTATGCATAAGCAAAAATCTGAGGACGGTAAGGACTGCGTAAGGAAACTGATTTTCGGACACGACACCACCCTTTCGTGCGCACGCACGTTTTTGACACCACTCGTTTAAGTTGATCCTAAGCAAGCTGATTTGCGGGCCCTCATGTCCAGCTTTTGTTGCAGATGTACTCTTCACCGTTCCTGGTTCCTGGATGTTCCTGGTTCCTACGCCATGAACACCCATTTTCGAGGACATGGTGGTCACCCAGAATGTGGACGGCTTCCACCAAGCTGCGGGCAGTCGAAAAGTGGTGGAGCTTCATGGCAGTGAGGTCCACGCCATTTGTTTGAACAGGCCACTCACGAAGGGCGCCTGTAACGCACCGGAACTCCGCGGAACTCGGGGCGACGAAGTGGATGGCCCCGACAAAGGGACTCCTAGTAGCTTTATTGTTCCTAGTAGTAAGGCCAGGAGCCCCTAGTAGCGTCCTTTTGTTCGGTCTCAAAGTCTGACGAAGCTGAGGGTGTTTCACTCTCCTTGGGACACACCAAGTTCCCTCGTCCATCGGCCGTCGTCTTCTTCGCCCGCTTCACCTGTGAGCCACGAAGAGTCTCCGGTGTTTGGCTCTTGTGGGAACGGTGGAGGGCACGCCTCTCTTCAGCTCCAACCAATGTTGATTGATGCACCTTGGATCTTTGTGTTGGTGCTTCGTGGATTCATTCACTGTGTCTCCACCCCTCGGATGCTTTTCCATGCTTTTCCTGCACAATCCAACCCTTCCTTGACGCAACACCTATCAAAGCGACATATTTTATACCCGGCCTCCTACACTAAGCGCAGCAGATACCTGGTTGTTGTCTTTGTCAGGCTGAATCTCAAATCCCCAGAGACACGGGAGACATTCATCGGCAGTTTCGCCCTTGTGCCCAATTCACTTCCCTCTCACTCTGGAGGGCCTGTGGCAAGCGCCTGGAAATGGCGCAACTCTTTGACGGCTCCAAGGCGAGGGAGACGGGAGAAACCTCACAACACAATGGAGCAACCTCACTTTCTGGAGAAGTCTTCATTGACACCATATGACACCATAATATACTTTGTTTCCGTAGTAAAGAGACAGGTAAATGGAAGAGTGCTAAGTTAAACATGTTGCATTCATTTTTTTTCCAAGCCGCAACCAAAGCGACCAAAGCGCTACATGAGATGGCTGATGCTTCATGCAGGCGTTCAACTGAAACGGATGGCCCTAAGCATTGTGTCTTGCGCTTGAATCGGTGCAATGCGGTGAAACCAACTCTTCAATCACAATTTGAAGCACGATACTGGTCGTACGTTTCAGAACATGTGTCCAATGTCATGTACATCAGACTGATGACATCTGCACATCAGCTGTCGACCCAGCTGATGCCAGGCCTTCTGGTCACCTGAAGCCAGAGGTTGGGGTCTTCGATGGCCGGAGGCTGGCTTTGCGCGCAAAGCGCCCTTTGCGCTATTTTGGGGCAGCCAATTGGAATGGAGGAAGGGATCTGGAACGAACAGGGTATTTTTCGTGATGGAAGCTAGAAGAGATTTATGTCTTTTGGCCTTTATACTTTATACATCTTGTTACACAGTCGATCTGTGGATGTTTGGAGTTTTTTTCTCTTGCGCAGTGGGCATTATGCCAATGATCTCTTGCGACATTCTGCATGATCGCTGTCAGCTAAATTCGACAAGCTTGTCGTCCAAACAACCGGGGAACGTGCACGTACTAAAAACAAGCAACATCAGCCGATGCTTTACATTATAACAAGGGCCTCGCTACTAGTGACAAGGGCATCGGCATCACTACTGTACTAGTAACAAGGGCATGGCTACTAGTAACAGGGGCACCGCTACTAGTGACAAGGGCATCGCTACTAGTAGCCAGAAGCTACTAGTTTTTCCTTTTCAATTTGTATGTTCGAAAGTCTGAGTCCACAGGGCGACTCCGACACGGACCTTCAGTGGCTTGAAAGACGGTCGGGCCGGGGCCGGAGGCGTAATTTTCCCACACTGTGAGTGGGATGAGATGGAAGTATTCCTGGTTTTGGGGGGGTCCGATTCACCATTCCCCGATCCCCAGACATGACGCCAAATATCATACTTTGATGTACAGTACTTTGGCACGTTTATGTTTTTGTGGTTCCAGGAACCTAGGAATGTGGATTCCTTAAGGCTAGGAACATCACCAACCAACAGCAGAGTTGCTTTTCCCATGTGCCACGCAAGTGGGATTTTGAAAAGGCTTGAAGTGATGCACGAAACGGCAGTTGTGGTGATATGTACTAGACCTATCTAGACCTGACATTCGTTGTCACTCAGACGTTCGATTGCCTATGTCCAAACATACAGATTCCGCAGATTCTAGCTTCTCTACGTGGTCCTTCAATGTCCTTCATATCTTTCGTCCATATGCAACAACACCTTGAACAAGGACATTTGACCTTCCGTTGAAGGCTCATGACTCATGGAGAACAAAAAGCCATATAACTTACCATTCTGAGGAAAGCCGTCCGAAGCCAACTCGAAGAATTGATTCAGGCCCAGACAACTGGCATGTGACTCGTGGTAGTCGGTGGTGGTAGTCGGAAGCAGCACAGATCGGACCAGATGTCCGTTGATTTGAAAAAAGGTCAGAATCCCATTGTTTCAAGACAGTCCTTTTTTCAGACGTAAACGCACCAAATATGAATCGAGACCAGACAAGAAAGCAGGCTCAGTGAATACCTTTGGTAACGCGTCTTCCCACCCTCGTTGCAGTTGCACCTGCTGCTTTGTTGCAGGGAAAGAAGGATGGCAAGTCCCAAGACTCGTCAAGCTCCAGTGAATCAACGAGTCGTGACCTCAGTCAAGTAACCTGCATGGCCTGCAGAGGATTCACCTGGCTTTTTGGAAGAAGTGATGTAATTATCAGGTCATATTGGTTTCGTCGTTTCGAGCCTCACAAGCCCTCTTCAGTCCGTTTGTGTCTTTGTTCAGTTGCAGGCAGTTCGAGCAGCAGTGTGAGCTCTGGCACACGACAGAAGCGCAGGCCTGGATGAGATGAGTCTCATGTAAAAGATGGGAATGAACAGTGTGTGGTCATGGGGTGTGCAGAACCCTGAGAACCTACAGGGGGCCACACAGCACTGATATCGCTAGGTGCAACATGGTGCAACATCAATGCACATCTTGATCGTGTCAAACGTTGGAGACGGACAGGGGACCACCTAGTCTTGCCGCTGCCATAGCAACTATATACGATATATAGATACAATATGTTGTCTGCTGCTCAGATGTTGGGATTGCCTTTACTTTGTCGTGCATGATTGGTGCTGTTGTGCTGCCGGACCTCCATTGCACTGCATACCTTTTAGCAACATTTTCTTGTGAGAATGTAATTACTTTAACTTTACCCGTCGAGTTCCTGGCAGGAATGCCGCCAAGACCCCAAAGCCTTTGACCGAGCAGGCCAGTTGCATCACTTGGTTTCATGATTCTTTCGTAGCAAAAGACTATATAGTTTGTTCAACATAAGTAAGAGAACCCATGTTGTACATCAAGGTACGGCTAATCATGTCAATATGTTACAATGTATTGGAGGAAGGGAGCTCAGCTCAGGCTCAGGCCTACTGAAAGCAATCTCTAGTAAAAATAAACTTATGGACAATGTTCTAGTGTTTGTTTGTACCTTGACTAGCTCTTCTAGATGTGACCCTGATGTCGCAAGTTAATACAAATGCTGCAAGGAGCTCAAATGCGGAAGCAATATAAACCTGGGAAGATACTCGACATATCAGCAGAATCTAGCCCAGCGAGTCCACAGTAGTAAACTACTCAGCCAAAGGGAATTCAGGTCCATTTGTTCAGGTTTGGTTCAAAAGCCCCAATTTCTGAAGCCAGGGCCAGGAATTCAACTAACATATTGAAACTCTACAAAATGATTATAGTTTAAGATATAGATATAGAGCTCTATCCTCTCCAGTCTCGAGATAGATGCACACGTTGTCTTTCAAAAGAAATGGATCTGAGAGTCTTTGGAGTCTTCACTTGAGGAGAAGGCTGATGGGCCTCCTGTGGGGCGTGTGCCCATTTGCCCAAGTTGCCAAACGGGCCTTTTGAAACCCGATGGAGCGGCTTGGCAAAGCAGTTCGGAATGTAAATGGAAGGCAGGCCCGATGTTGTGCAAGAGATTTCTTGTGCTTGGACAAATAGACACTGTTTCGTTTGTGTCTGGAAGGGCATCTCCAAGATCCTCTTTCCCTTGTAATTCCTTTTAGAGTGTATTGCATTCAATTGGGCCATTTCCGTTTGGCGCGTTACGCTTCGGAAGTGTCACGTGGCCCTGCAAATGTCGCAGCACGTGAGAGAGATCATGTTCTGTAGTAACAAGAGGACGCTACTAGGGGCTCCTGGCCATACTACTAGGAGCGAGAACGCTACTAGGGGCTCTTGGCATCGCTACTAGGAGCAAGGACTTTGCAGGTTGTTGCCAGTTGCAAACCATGTGCTGCACTGTGCTGAGGTTTATTTCGGTGAGGCTGCGCGGGGTGTTCAAATTTTCGTTCAACGATCCCAGTGTTTTGCCGAATCATCCCCAAATGCTGCCGACCCAGAGGCATACAACCTAATTGAGAATCATTTTATGTCATCTTGCTGATGCCATCTCAGCTGATCCAGCTCGGTTGTGTTTTCACATGCCCAGTCGTTGGACAAGCGTGTCTTGAAGCGGGCGCTCCTGCAGAGCATCAATTCCAAAGTGGCTCCTCATTTGCATCTCACGACATCTCACAGCACATCTCACGATCGGATCAGACCAACATCGCCCGAAGCGTTTCGGTTTTCCAACGAAGCGTTGGGATGGGACAACTTGAAATTGATCAAGTGTTCTTATCCTTTTGCACTGCTCTGCACTATGAGAACCCTTACTGAGGTGATGATGGTGGGAACCCGCGGTGAGGTTGACCCTGCGGCCAAGTTGCCCGTCATCGCAAAGCGCTAGGGCCTTGGAGGAGAGCACAGACAAGCAAAGTTGAGCGAACGGAGAGAAACGGAGCGTAGCACAGAGGACTCAGAGGACCAATGAAAAACTCTGGGTGGAAAACTTTGGGCAGATGTGAATGCTCCTGTGAAAGACCCATCAAGTATAGGGACGAATTTGCCCTTTTCAATCAACCGATTGACCAATGAATAGCAGCTTCGGTTTTTTGAGACACTCTGAGACCAACACCTCTCAGGTGAGCAAGATGCCAAGATCATCGAGGTCCTGGGAAATGATATGGGCAGAGCATGCGGAAGACATAGGGATGGTAGAGGAGGCGGAGGTGTATGTTGGTGCATGCCGGTGCATATAGAACACCCATCGCTTCTTTGCTCAGCTCTGTGGCGGTTCGACAGTTCGACACGAAGACGGAACTATTGAAGTATAAGTATGGCCAGTAAGAATCAAGGCGAGCAACAAGAAAGAGCAAACAGAATCAGAAAGGAAAGCAACACAGGTAGCTTATACACAGTCTTATACACTTATACCTTCATCATGACCCCAATTCCTAAATCTTGTTGGCAATGAAGTGGGTGCCACTCGGGACGAAGCAATTGTGTGCACATCCACATCACGTCCATAGCCGTAGGAGAAGATGAGGTTTGTTCCTAGTGAAGACGTAGTTCCTCCGCTCTTCCCAAGTTGCTGCGAGGTGAACATTGGCTCGACCAGACTGTCCAAGCATGCAGACATCGTGCTGAGGGTTCGAGGGAGTGACAAGGGGCATCAAAGGGCTACTTACTGGTTGAACAATTTCTCAAAATCCATAGAGCACTTCTACCTGTTCGGGGGTGATGTGATGTTCTGGTTTCTTTGGAATACCACTGCACCTTATCAAACGTCAGCTGCAGCGTGCGATTCTTTGCTGATTGTGGCATATCATATTGTTGCAATCTGTCGAAGTGTTCCACCGGTCACAGCTGAAGCACGTCAACTATTGTCAGGGTGCTGCTGGAGAAGTCTTACCTAAGCTGATGAAGCTTCTTGGAAGCAGCTAAGACCATTGAGCCATCTTGAGCCGCCAGTGTCATGTGCCTCAAAGCCCCATCACGAGCAGGCTCATTTGACATGTTGAGAATTGCTAATTGCCAGCTGTGGGATGAGCACGGATTTTTGCTGTGAGACTTTCACCTCGGTTTCTGGCGTATTATACATATATATATATATGTTGTGATTGACACAAAGGTAGCAACAAAAGATCCTCCTTCCCTCGCACAGCCGCGTGCGTTTTCCACTCACAGCTCACCTGAAGGTTGGTACGAACGGTCGGGCGCCTCGCCCTGCAGTGTCCTCACTGCTTCTATGGCTCAGGTCACGGGTGACCCACCCTACACCACCCTTGCGGCCTCGCACACTCGTGGCTTCGGACGTGAACACACCTGAGTGGGTCAAGACTGGTTCCTCAGTGACCGAAAGGTTCGAAATTCACGTCATCAAAAATTCTATCAATCTTTTTCTTTGGTTGTGTGTCGATCATCCTTCTTGCTGCTGGTCTCCCATTAGAGGGATCCCGGACTCAAGCCACCTAAGGCGTGTTCTGCTGTCAGCTCGCTCTTTCAGCACTTGCAGTTCGTCATTTAGTTGATACATGCCTTGTTGCAAAGTGTATCGGAGGAGAGTTCCTTGCATCACCTTAGTTAGCGCATCAGCGAGCTGAGCTCCTGTATGGACCCATCTTAATTGAATGCCTTCGGATAGCAAATCTTCTATTGCCTTTGCTTGAAGTTGTGTACGGAATTCCTGGCAATTTGGTTGAGCAGTTCGGGTAACCAAATCATACAAAGATTTGCAATCTGTGACAGCTACTGATCGTGGCAAACACTGGGCTAAGGCTGTGGTAGATTGGATTGGTTTGGGTTCACTCTTAAAAACCTCATGTGGTCGTTTCCAATTGACTTGGGGATTTTGGATCCATGCCCAATAGAGTCTCATCCAAGATAGCTGGTCTAAGCTTGTTTGGAGCGAAGTTGTTTCGGCTGACAAAGTACTCGTAACTACTTTCTGGATCTTGCGGCAACCCCAGGACAACGGGCTGACTGGGCATTGATAGTTCTCACTTATATCCCTATGGGTGGCCAAGATGATCATGCCTGTGTGACTTTCTGGGCTCTTGGCCGACGCAAATGATGCGTCCGAGAATAACAAGAATCTGAGATGCTTGATTGGGATGGGTTGGATTCTGATGCATGTGTCTTTGTATCGTTCTGCTTCATGAAGTACACGGTTGGCATCGTGCAACGTTTGGACCGTGGCTTTGTTGATCTCACTTTGGATGTAGCTTAGTCGACTTGAAAGATCCGGTCTCGTGTTGATGCTCGCGTACTGAAGACTTCCCACAAGTGCACGGAGCGAGTGTCTCTCTTCGGAGGTCACTTCATCCGTCAGACATGTTCGTCTGCTTGCATTCATGTGGATTGGCTCAAACTTGCTTACATACTTGGATTGGGACATGATGATACTTTTGTCTGCCTGTTGGTTCATCTCAACACCAGTGAACGTGAATTGACCTACTTTCTTTGATCCAAATGGGAATTTGGCTTCTAGCTTTGAGATTTGTTCTTCAAAGTATTGATCTCCTCCACCTAGTCCATCGTCAACATGAACTCCTAGGACCCCCGAAATTTTGCTTTGTCCTGGTTTGTATAGTACGTATGCGCATGGGTCGAAGGGTGCTGGAATGAAGTTCAAATCACGAAGGGTCCGATCCAATTCCTTATGCCACAAATAAGGAGCATCGATCAAACCGTAGGCTGTTTTTCGATTTTGCAGATTTGATTGGGTTGAAGTTTCAATGCCTTTCGAAGTTCTTCAACAGGTTCCAGGCCTAGAACTCGATCTTCCTGCGTTTTGCCTTGCAAAAATGCAGCTTTGATATCGAAGCTTTTCAGAGTCCATCCCATGGATGATATTGCTTGCAACAAGAGCATTTTGGATTGCTTTCCAAGTGTCGGCGAGTCCCGGGGTATGCTGTCTAACTGGGGATCTTGATATCCAAGGACTACTAGACGTGCTTTCGGTTTATGGGTCTTTGGTCCTGGTCTGACGTTCTCAGTTGATCCGGTTTGAAGGTCGTCAGCATCACGGGGTTTCCATACGCATATCCAGCGGCAACGCATTACCTGTTCCGGACACAGCTGATCCCGAAAGATTTTACTCACCGTCCCTGTGTTTAACCAATTTGTGATCTCCTTTTCCTTTGCTTGACGGAAGAGAGCTTGTTCTTCGGTGGACAATTGGTGCATCTTTACTTCTGTTCGGTCACGCTTGGTGGTGGTAGTCATCATGATAAGATCTGTTGCTGGTGAGTTTTCATCCCATTTCATCATTGTTTCTTTGGGAAACAGGAATTCAGCTTTCCATCCTACGGCTTCTGAGTCTATTTGGGTTTGGCACCAGTTGACCTGATCTTCTACACTTAGTAGGGAGTCACATACGAGTTCATCACTGAGATCGGATGCTTCGCTTGGGACCGGCACACTTGCTGCATCCTGATGACCGCCGGGGTCACTCGGCAATTCGATGCTTTGTCGGCTCGCTGGAGACACTTGACTCTCTGGAATCGAGGGCTCTTGATCTGGCTGGATCTCTGACGAATTCGATGTGTTTCCTGTTCCTACGCGTTGTGGGATTATATTGCTATCTTCTTGGCTCTCTGGTGGAGTTGCGGGCGCTTGTTCACGAATGTTGGCATTTTGTGTATCTTCGCCTTCAATACCTGCGATCGGACTTAGAGCTCGGGGGATACGCTGGGCTTCCATGGCACTTACGGGTCGAACATGTTCAGGGGCTATCTTTACCAAGCTTCCTGCGTGATTACACCAAAGACAATGGGGACCTTCTTGTTGGATGACTCTGGCTGGACCAAACCACCCCCGTTCAAGTTCCCCTGTCATAGGATCCTCGGTGAGGACAGCTTCGCTGGAGAACAGCTCTTCGCAACGCAGAGCTGTTGTCTGCACAGTGAAAAGCTCGTCGTGCAGCTTCGCGGTATGCCAGCTTTTCTCGAAATCTGATTCCTTCCTGGGTGTCATCGTCTGCCAGGAGGTGCGATGGCAATTGCTCGTCCGATGAGATTGATGCTGGAATTCTGGACCCTTTTCCAAAAACAAGAGTTTCTGGGGAGTATCCCTCTTTTTCTGGCTCAGTGCATTCTTGGCAGAAGTGCAGTGCGATAGTGCTGTCTGCAGGTTGGTGTATGACGTTACTGGATGTTCCTGTTCATACTTCTTGAGCATTTCCTGTAGGATTCCACCATGTCTTTCTACTTTTCCGATTTGCCAGTGGGCACCTGGTGGGGTAACTATTGCTTTGATGTTGAACTGGCCTAGAAAAGTGACAAATTCCTTGGATGTGAATTCCGTCCCTGAGTCTGTGTGAATCTCAATCGGAGCCCGTGCCCATTGGAGCCATCCATTGAGCACCTTGTCTATTGCATCATCACTGCTTTTACCTGGGCTTGCACATGCTACCTGGTAGTTTGTTCCATAGTCGATGATGTGATAGAAGTGGAAGTTGGTTCCTGCCAGATTCGTGTATACAACACCATCTATCCCAATACAGTCGTTGAAGTCTAGCTCACGTTTGATTGTAGAAGGTCTTTGATGTTTGGGTTCCTTAGTATTCTGACATACGGAACAACTTAGGTCCATGGCAGCTTGACACAATCGGGGTGAGTACCCCTGTTGACGCAGCATTGAACACAGCTTTTGACCATGAGGGTGTCCTAGGTTCTGATGCAATTTCAGCAAGAACGATTTTTCTTCGGCTGATATGGTCTTGAACTTTGGGCCATGGTCAAAGCTCGGCATATGGAGTTGACTCGAACTCGCTCCTGTCTCTTTGGTCTGATCCGGACCCAGCTCTGTGACAGGTGCTTGATCACTACTTGGCAGGCTGACGGTTGCCTCCTGCGGCTCGACGCTTGTTCCCGTTGCCTCGGGACTCATATTCTGCTCGGTCGA